AATAGAGCTCAGTGCACTTGGTCAGAAGTAGAAAGACTTTGGTACCCAGTCTTGCCATTTCTGAGGGAGGTGGTAGAGAGATGAGTCACAGTGTAAACTCCTGGAGATAAGTTGAGGAACCTCTGGTCATCCATAAATTATTGGACTTGGTCTTATGCTGAGCTGGACTCTAGATGTTTCTGGCTTAATGCTTTCTGCACCAGACTGAAGGGCACATTTTGAGAAAATACCGTGGGAGCCAACCGCAAAATGGCCGCTGTGTTGTGTGTGGCACAAAATGGCCGCCACACCGCTCTCCTGTTCTTCACAGAAGGGAGGGCGGGTGTCCAATCCTGGCATCCAATGAAATTCAGGCATGCACCTAATCCAGTGCAAAGAGAAAGAACAAACAGCAGCTTGAAGGTTGAATAAGATTTGTAGTGGGGTATTTAATGGGCATCAGTACTGGTGGGCACACTGCATACTCTGCAAGTGTCGTGTGAAAACCGGGACATCCTGTGTGTGTTTTTTTGCGAGAGAATGCCGGCCCTTCTAGGACAGCGCTCTCTCATGCGATTTTGAAGTGCGGCGCAAATTCACACGAGGGCACAGTGTCCAAAATGGGCACCGTTCTCTTGCGGGGGGAAACGGGAAGATGGCAACTGGCAAGATTGTGCCCCAGATTTTGCCATCGAGGCATTGGAGGGCATGGCACTTTTACAGTCACCATGTTGGGGACCTTTGGTCTACCCAGACCAATAGTGGCTCTCCAAGGACTCTGGTGGAAGCCTTTGCCATCCAACTTAGAATCATAGAATCATAGAATCATAGAATCATAGAGTTGGAAGAGACCACAAGGGCCATCGAGTCCAACCCCCTGCCAAGCAGGAAACACCATCAGAGCGCTCCTGACATATGGTTGTCAAGCCTCTGCTTAAAGACCTCCAAAGAAGGAGACTCCACCACACTCCTTGGCAAAAAATTCCACTGTTGAACAGCTCTTACTGTCAGGAAGTTCTTCCTAATGTTCAGGTGGAATCTTCTTTCTTGTAGTTTGGATCCATTGCTCCGTGTCCGCTTCTCTGGAGCAGCAGAAAACAACCTTTCTCCCTCCTCTATGTGACATCCTTTTATATATTTGAACATGGCTATCATATCACCCCTTAACCTCCTCTTCTCCAGGCTAAACATGCCCAGCTCTCTTAGCCGTTCCTCATAAGGCATCGTTTCCAGGCCTTGGACCATTTTGGTTGCCCTCCTCTGGACACGTTCCAGTTTGTCAGTGTCCTTCTTGAACTGTGGTGCCCAGAACTGGACACAGTACTCCAGGTGAGGTCTGACCAGAGCAGAATACAGTGGCACTATTACTTCCCTTGATCTAGATGCTACACTCCTATTGATGCAGCCCAGAATTGCATTGGCTTTTTAGCTGCCGCGTCACACTGTTGGCTCATGTCAAGTTTGTGGTCAACCAAGACTCCTAGATCCTTTTCACATGTACTGCTCTCAAGCCAGGTGTCACCCATCTTGTATTTGTGCCTCTCATTTTTTTTGCCCAAGTGCAATACTTTACATTTCTCCCTGTTAAAATTCATCTTGTTTGTTTAACAGGGAGAAATGGGCATCCTGGGAATAAAAACTGGGACCTTTGGCATGCAAACTATGAGCTCTTATACACAGAGGCCTTCCTTGTGCTCTTGGCAAAAAGCTGTATTGGCATCACCAGCAATCAGCTACATCAGCCCTTGCCCACCCCCTGGGGAAAAAATCAGTTCACTGCACACTTTTATGCTGTGGTGCAAGAAGGACGGGGAGTTTCTGCCCCTTTTGATCTTGCGGCAACAAATGCCACACAATCCATCGAGTGATAGGTGATTTTTGTGCCCCTGGCGGGGACTGGTTTCATCTCTGCTAAGAGGAAGGCCCCAGCCCTTCTGTCTCCCTTCAGCACCAAACAGCATGACCAGTCATTGGGGATAATGGGCGTTGTAGTTCCCCTCTATTGCCACAGCTAGTGGGAGAAATTCTGTGCCAATGGAAAGGTATCTGTTCAATTTGCTTTTTTAAAAAAATAATTATGGTTGGTGCTTCTTCATCTAGGAAGGGTTTGTTTCTTGAGCAGGCTGTAGTCAAAGTCGGCTTTTGCTGGCCAAGTCGCTCCTTTCATTTCTCACGTTTTGCCGCCAAGCGGGGCGGGAGCGGGGGATGAATGGGGGCTGGCTCGGTAGTTCTTGATGGATGGATGTCATTGGAGCTGGCTCAGGTTTGCCTAACGCTTCGTGTTTGGTCTGATGCTTTAAGGAGAGTGAAAGGGAGGGTGGGATTTGCTGTGGGTGGGAAGGAGAACATCGAAAAAGGAGGTAACCTCTCCCTCCCAAAACACAGCTTCTGAAATGCACCTTCCTCATTAGAAAGCCTAATAAAAACAGGGGGCGTAGTTCATTATTCCTTGTTATTTCCCCCCAAGCTGGTGATGATTGTCCTCGTGAGCCTGTCTTTTTTGGGGGTGGGTGGGTGCTGCTGCTGGTGGTGGTGGTCTGTGGCTGTTTGGGAGCGCTGTTTTGAATGCGGTTATTGTATCATATGGGTTTAACCCTGTACAATTCTGGATATTGTGCGATAGGAACCAAAGCGGTTTCAGCAGAGAACAGGGACCTCATTATGCTGGGGCTGCAGTGCCATGCATTTCTAAATAGCATGCTGCGCTCTCTCCCAGCGCAGCCAAGGGACTCCGGCAAAAATTTAGAGAAACAACCAATCTTTCATCGGGTTTTAACTCTTACGTTGGCCTGCTTTGGGAGGGTGCGGGGGCAGAGAGATTTGTATGGCTGATCCAAAGATCTTCTGCAGAGATGCACAGCTGACTACAGAAGGCTGATTGATCCGGGTTTCTAGTGGATCATAGAATCACAGGATTGTAGAATTGGAAGGGACCCTCAGGGGTCATCCATTCCAACCCTCTACATTGCAGGATCACCACTGAAGAATCCCGGACAGATTGCCCTGATTAAAAACCTCCAGTGATGATGATGATGATGATGATGATGACTTTCTGAGGATGTCCTTTCCAACTCTTGCCATTAGAAAGTTCTTCCTAATGTTGAGTCAGAATCTCCTTTCTTGTAACTTGGATCCATTGGTTCAGGTCCTTCTCTCTGCAGCAGCAGCAGAAAATAAGCTTGTTCCCTCTTCCATGTGACAGCCCTTCAGATATTTGAAAATGGCTCTCATGCCATCTCTGTGTCCTTTCCCGCAGGCTAAACATACCCAGCTCCCCTAAGTTGCTATCAAACTTGATAGCTGTCAGATGGTGGTGGTGGTTGCTCGTGAGTAACCAGGCAGGACTCTGACCTGTCTTTTACAGGTTTTATTGTGCAAACTATTTACAGTGCAGATCTACCAAGTTCATGTCCATCTCAGTCACTTGCAGAACCGGGAGTGGCCCCTTCCAGCTTCTCCCCCAACATAAGAACTTCAGCACCCCAAGCCTCCTCCTCCCCTCCTTGCGTTTCACCCCTCTGCGCAAGCTGGGCGATGGAAGTGGCGTGCGTCCCTCCTGGCCAGCCCGGCTAGGTGAGGCGCTGGGGTTCTCAGCAGCATCCTCAAGCCCTTTCCTTGCTTGGCTGACCCCTTCCCTCTCTTCTCCACTGGAGGTGTGGCTTTTCCCACCCATAGCTGTCAAGCGTCCCTTATTTGGCGGGACAGCCATGTCCCGCTGCTGTCCCTTATTGATGATGTCCCTTAAATAAGCTACTGAAGGTAATGGGTCCCTTTCTATGTCTAGCAGTCCTTTGTCAACAACAAATTGTTGCTGGTTTTTTTGTGTTGAATATATGCTATATGGTAATTTATGGACCTAATAGGTATCTAAAGCCATTTGCACGCAACAAAATATGCATTTTATCAAAGTAATTGTTGATCCCATATTTTGGCTGCTGGTCCCTTATTTTCAAATCTGTAAGTTGACAGCAATGTTCCCACCGCTGGAAGAGGAACTGCTCCTCAGGAGTTTCGGGGGCTCTCTGTATCCCAACGCCCCCCCTGCCTCCCTCCCCTGTTCCGATGGCAGTCCCCTGACAATAGCTTTCTTAAAAAAGCAAGACTTTCCATTGATTGATTGATTGATTCTACCCCACCTTTCCCTCCCAGAAGCTCAAGATGGGGTACGTGGCCTAATCCTATGCAAATCTAATCATAGGAGCCAAGTCTTAGGGGCCAAGAGGTCTTTGTCCCCTCCAATAAAACATTTGAAGGGGTCAGTCCGCCCCCCAAAGGCGATGGGCATTGCCATTAAAATGGTGTGCGTGCACTGCGCCATGTGATTGATTATGCGGGGGTGGGGGGCTTACCTGCCCCAATTTTTTATTCAAGTTGGCACCCCTGAATCTAATAAGTAGATAGATACAGTGCTTTTTTCTGGGGGTACGCATGCCCCTAAACATTTTGTGAATCTAAGTTTGGCCTCACTGAGGGGTAGTATTTCAATATGAGTAGGAAAATGAGAGCACCCCTAAACATTTTTATTAAAAGATAGATTAATAAATAAATAAATATCCAGCAAGTGTTTCTTATGTTCTCATGTTTTTATGTCTCCCATTCAATAACCACATTGAGTAGCATGAATCACCGCACAATTTGCAAGAGAAGTCATGAGCCATTTTTGTATGTGTGGTGTTGTGTGTGTGTGTGTGTGTGTGTGTGTGTTTGGCTGTGTTTTTATCTTGCAACAGTGATAATTCTCAGATTCCCTCTGACTCCTTGGGACCCTTATCCCAAACGAGAGAGGAATCGAAACATAGTTATCACTTTGGAGACCGAAATCCTGGGTATTTATGGCATCTTTAATGTGTGGCAGTTTTCTGGTCCCTTTACAGGGTCTTTGCAGGAGAAGAGCAGCTAAGCGGAGGGGCAGGAACACAGACTCGGTGTGCTGGTCCCGGGGGGTTACCGTGCGGCGTGGTCCGAGTCCAGTCCAAGGTCGAGGGTGTGGTATGGAGGCTGTCCGTCAAGGCTGAAGCTGGGTCCAAGGCAAGGAGTCGGGTGAGGTCAGGAACTCTGGCAGAAGAGCAGGACAGGGTGCTGGCAGAAACAGGCTACCAACAATGTTGCTCCCACAACTTGGGACTGGGGCTGGCTGGCTTTTATCTGCCCTGAGGCATAGGGCAGCCCCGGTCCACAGGTGACTCGCCTCTCCTGGCCTGGAGGCGAGCACTCCTCCTGCGGGAACTTAGTTCCCTCCGCCTCTCTGCTCTGAGCCTCTGCAGCTCAGGAGAGGCTGGAGGGTTACCAGACCCAGAGGCAACCTCCTCTTCCCCTGACGGGGCTGAGAGTGGAGCACCTGCAGGCAATGGGTCCTCCATCACCTCAGCAGCCAGAGCAGACTCAGCTGGTGCCTGCACCTGAGGATCCAGCACAGGTGAGGGCCCTTCAGGCTCATGCCCCAGCCCCGGCTCAGCTGGTTCTGGAGGCGGGGAATCCTGTGCAGGCTGGGATTCCTCAGGTTCAGCCTCTGAATCCGATTCCCAGGCCATCACACTCGGCTTGCCTTGCAGCTCAGTGGGTAGAGCACCTGCTTTGGATGCCAAAGATCTCAGCTTCCATCTCTGGACGGGGCTGGGAAAGGTCCACCGTCTGAAATTCTTGGGAGCCACTGCCAATACGTGCTAGATGCACTGATTCAGTATCAGGCAGGTGCCTACGTTTCTGCCGTGAGCATCACACCCAACGTCCTCTTGATGGAGCAAGTGCTGTTTTTCCTGCAGAGACGTTGAGGCTGCAGTGCTGCTGTGGAACGCCTTTGCAGTCCTGGAAGGCTGTGTTTCCTTCCCCCTCGATTGCTTCCCTCTCTCCAAACCGAGCTCTTATCTAGAAGCTACCTTGGATGCCTGGATCAGGGGCATAGGCAAACTCAGCCCTCCAGATGTTTTGGGACTACGACTCCCATCATCCCTCGCTAACAGGACCAGTGGTCAGGGATGATGGGAGTTGTAGTCCCAAAAACATCTGGAGGGCGAGTTTGCTTAGGCCTGGCCTGGATGCTACGCAAACTGGGTCTTCCCATCGGGTGGGAGCTGAAGAAAGCAGCATGCGCCAAAGTTGGCCCTGCCTGATGGGAAGCCCTGATGACAAGGCCAAATGAATCAGATATGTTTATAGCACCATCTTTTTATCCTTTCTCTCTCTGGCTGATGCTAGCCTTGTTAGTTCAGGTGAGGCAGGCTGAGAGTGGCGGTTAATCGCTGCGTTTATACGTCAAGCCGAGACTCGCAGCCAAGGAATTGGCCGATGAGAGTTTGCGTAGCAATTGCACCTTCCTCCTCCCTTTTCGCATCCGCACAACACCAGCACTTGAGCCGTGTATGAAGTCTCTCCCTCCCTATCTCCACTTTCCTCCTCCACTTATTTATTTATTGCATTTATATCCTACCTGGGCTAGATCTGCACACAGGAAAGGAAATGCTATAAATAAGTCACAAATGAAATCATTTTAACAAAAGGGGAAAAAAACACTATGAGAACTCACATAGAAAAGTTTTGTGCTCTACAGCGCCATCTGGTGTTGCATGTTTATAATGCATTTAAAACACTGGGTTTTTGTTTTTGTTTTTACTACTGTAGCTGAGTCCCTGTTCTCCAAGGAGCTCAAGGGGGCATGTATGGTTCCTCTCTCTCTCTTCTCATTTAATCCAACAACAACCCTGTGGTGTAGGTTTGGCTGAGAGGCAGTGACTGGCCCCCAAGGTAACCCAGTGAGGATTCGGACCCTGGTCTCCCAGACCCTAGTCCAGGCATAGGCAAACGCAGCCCTCCAGATGTTTTGGGACTACAATTCCCATCATCCCTGGGGTGCCTCTGGGATGCCTGAAATCAGGGGCTTCTGCACAGACCCCTCTCCTGCATTGTCCACTAAACTGAATGTGGGTTTGGAGATAGTAGATATTTGCAAGGGTGCTGAGATGTGTCAAGGTTGGAAGAGGGAGGATCCCAGTCATATGAATTAGACCCACAGTAAAATGCGAAGAGTCTTCCGTTTACATCATGCAAAGACTTAGTTCATGACAAGAAGAGGCACAGAGGTGTGCATTGTCAGAGCCTGTACAAATATCACGGTCCTTAAAATAATGTCAATTATTTCCAGGGGCTTCTAATAAATGGGCCTTGCTGCATGTTGGCCTCATATTCTTCCTGCAATCCTTTTAAGAGACAAGAAAATGCTCTCAAGCCCAGTATTTAAAGCTCTCATCCTCAAATATTCATCAAACAAGAAGTTTGAAAAGGTTTTAAAAGTTGGGTGGGTGTGTAGAAAAAGAGCGAACCATTTCAAATGTTAATCTCTGCATTCATGGCTATTGCAGAGAAGATGGTGCAGCAGATACTTCCAAGTTATGCGTTTTGGGGTTTTGAAAGGAAGGGAAGCTTTTAATGTTTAACAGACCACTGTATTTTAATACTTTGTTGGAAGCCGCCCAGAGTGGCTGGGGAAACCCAGCCAGATGGGCGGGGTATAAATAATAAATTATTATTATTACAGTCATACCTCATGTTACGTCCGCTTCATGTTACGTTCTTTCAGGTTATGTCCCGCGGTGACCCGGAAGTACCGGAAAGGGTTACTTCCGGGTTACGCCACTCACGCATGCGCAGAAGTGCAAAATGATGTGGCACGCATGTGCAGAAGCGGCGAATTGCTTTTTTTCTCCCATTTTTTTTTTACTGGTTTTCACCATATTATAAACAAACAAACAAGCACACACACAAAACAAACAAACAAAACAAACATAAATCATAGCCTTATTAAAATTACAGTTATTAACTTTGTTAAGTGACTTCCTCGCTTCCCCTTGGTTGAATTTCATTGCATGTCCTTTTAACGGTTTTCCAAATCCCAATTTTTATGAAACTTAACTTAAACATTAACATCCTTAGATCTTCACCTTATAGAATTAAACATATTAATTCATCACTTAACATAAATAAAATCCTGAGCCCATTAAGTATCTGCAAGCTATTTCCAGTTAGTTTAACTTAACAAATTTAACTAAATAATCATTGAATTTATTCCATTCTTCCTGATACTCCTCCTCCTTCTGGTCACGGACTCTTCCGGTTAGGTTGGCTAGCTCCAAAAAATCCATCATCTTCATCTGCCATTCTTCTATTGTTGGTAATTCTTAGGTTTTCCACTTTTTAGCTAACAAAATACGAGCAGCAGTTGTGGCATACAAAAATAATTTAACATCTTTCTTGGGCAATTCCAAACCCAGAAGCGGCGAATTGCAACCCGTGCGTGCGCAGACGCGCCGCTGCAGGTTGCGTTCCTTTCATGTTGCGAACGGGCCTCCAGAATGGATCCTGTTCACAACCAGAGGTACCAGTGTAATATCATCATCATCATCATCATCATCATCATCATTATTACCAAGGCATAGATGACCAGAAATGAATTCGGTTAAGCCCAGTGATTGATTGATTGATTGAGTGAGTGAGTGAGTGAGTGAGTGAAGCTGCCGGTTGCTTTTCCTCTGCCCTTAGTTGCTGAAGGAACTTCCAGTTCAGTACAAATAGAATGGTATATGTACCAAACAAAAAAATCCCAGACATTTTTCCAAATTTTATAAATCTGCCTGGACAGAAATTTTAACTCTGAAGAAGAGGACGTGTCCGGGGGGAAATGGACATATGGCGTCCCTACTTTGGATGCCATTGGGAAATAACATTCCCCAGGATACCTACTACCAGGCCTAGATGAGGGAGGGCCACTGAGGGAAATAGTCATTTCTTCAAAATGCAGGCAAGTACCCTGGTCTGGATATGTGCATGTTCCCAGCCAGGTGAATATAGAGTTGGGTGCCACCACTTTCAAATTCTCCTGGGAGATTTGATTCATCGCTCAGAAGTTTCCAGGAACAAAGAAGCCTGTGGCGTGGAGCAGTTTCTGAGTTCAGACATGCTCTCCACTGCTAGACACTGGAGAGGAAGGAGTCTTGTTTTGCAGAAGGGGTATATAGAGGCATCTGGTGCTTTTGCAAACAAAGAGCCATTCCTGGCTTCTGGCAAGTTGATTTTGTTGGGGTTTTATCTTGAGCTGTATGCCTCTGGATTATTTATAAATGCTGGCACTTCTTTATATCCAGCAGGTAGTCGGCTTGCAGTCGTGTATAAAATAATTCAAAAACATTCTAGTGATGCAAGTTTAGTGCTAGATATTTAAAACGCTGCAAGAATAAAGCCCCTACAAAATCAAAGCAAACCATTCTATAGAAGGTTTATCTTGATAAAGCCAGGAGGGTTTTGTTTGGGGGTGTGTGTGGGGGGGTGACCCATCATTGCCCAGACTTGCTCTGCAATGCAGGAATCTCAGCTCAAGCATCCATGACGGATGACCACCCAACCTCTGCTTAAAAACCTCCAAGGAAGGAGAGTCCACCACCTCCTGAGGGCGTCCGTTCCTCTGTCGGACAGCTCGTATTGTCAGAAAGTTCTTCCTGATGCTTAGTCGGAATCTCCTTTCTTGTAATTTGAATTCATTGGATTGAGTCCTTCCCTCCAGAGCAGGAGAAAACAATCTTGTTCCCTCTTCCATGAGAAAGCCCTTGAGATATCTCAGACCAAACGAGGCCCATCTAGTCTAGCATCCCTTTCTCTCAGCAGCCAACAGATGCCTCTGGGAAACCTGTAAGCAGGATTCAATCAGAAGAGCTCTCCCCCCTCCTGTAGAATCCAACAACTGGTATTCATAAGCATTGCTCCATCTTCTGCACCATGGAGGGCAGTACATAGCCACCATGACTAGTGGCTATCAGTAGCCTTCTCCTCCATGAATTTGCTCAATCTTCTTAAACCACCCAAGTTGTGGGCTTCTGTGCTTGGTTTCTCCTGGCTGTTGTGGTTTCCTTTGTGGGGTGGGGGAGAAGTAGCTGTTGTTCATTGTTGAGGCAAATGGGCTGGTGGTCCACCACATTGCTATGTGCATCCAAAGTCATGCATTGTGGAGGAGGAGCCTCAACATTCACCGCTACAAAGGGGCATCCCTAAGCAAGGTCCTGGAATGCCTCCAGCAGCAAATCCACACCTAAGATGGGGATGCCTCTTTTTCCTGTCCTTCTGCCACCAGCCTTTCAAGGTCTGATGGTCATTTAGCAAGAGTCCATTCCACTTTTAGCAACAGCTTCACTGCTCAGTAAGCACTTAATGTGTTGATACTAGTTTCCCAATGTTTGGTTGTTGTTGTTTTTTTAAAAAATATTTTTATTAACAATTTCGACATACAACTATCAAAGCATGTTGTTGTTTAGTCGTGTCCGACTCTTCGTGACCCCATGGACCAGAGCACGCCGGGCACTCCTGTCTTCCACTGCCTCCCGCAGTTGGTCAAACTCATGCTGGTAGCTTCGACAACACTGTCCAATCATCTCGTCCTCTGTCGTCCCCTTCTCCTTCAGCACTCCATCATTCCCAACATCATGGTCTTTTCCAGGTAGTCTTCTCTACTAATGATGTGGCCAAAGTATTGGAGCCTCAGCTTCAGGATCTGTCCTTCCAGTGAGCACTCAGGGCTGATTTCCTTCAGAATGGATAGGTTGGATCTTCTTGCAGTCCATGGGACTCTCAAGAGTCTCCTCCAGCACCAGAATTCAAAAGCATCCATTCTTCAGTGATCAGCCTTCTTTATGGTCCAGCTCTCACTTCCATACATCACTACTGGGAAAACCATAGTGATGTATGGAAGTGAGAGCTGGACCACATATTTACTTTCCACAATTTCTCCCAGTCCTCAGATTGTATATTATGTCCTATATCTTGTGCCTATTTGATCATAACTGATTTGACTCCCAATGTTTGGTTTAAAGTCCCTTAGCAGGAGTACTAAATGGTCATTTCCATTGCCCCTCTGCTAGCCCTTTGTCTCTTAGCACCCCTCTGGATAATCCCACTGCCCCCAGAGAGAGCCCCTGGCCACTTTGGGAACCGCTGATTTGGGGAGACAGGAGAGAGCAGGCTCTAGTTGCAGTGGAGAGCGATGGGTTTGGGCTTTAAAGAGGTTGGCAGAGCTACAGTTTCCAGGCAAACTCTGCTTCCAGTCCAGACTTCGGGATCCGTGATCCCTGAAGGCTGTACAGGTTGGGAGCCGCCGCTGGCTAATGAAGCTGCGAGTGGCTCGCTAAAGGCAATCAGACGCCGACAAGTTTGTATTAACATTTTAATACTTGTCTTCTTTCTTACTCTCTCTCTCTCTTGCCTGCCTCCCTGCCTAAAAATAGCTCCTGTGAATATTGACAGATACCCAGGTTCTTCATGCTGGCTCTCACATTTCTATCACATCTTTCCTTGGAATGAGGTTCCCTTGGGGAGGGGGTTGCACTTGGAGGAATTCCAAACTTCTTCCGTTGATTTTTAAAATAATAATAAAAACAATCATCCTTTCTGTAACTTGGATCTGGCAAGGGACAGAATCAAAAGAATCACAGAACTGTAGAATTGGAATCTTTCACCCAATGTTGGGTTCAAACCCAGAGTCTCTTGTTAGAAGCAGGAGGACTGATGGCATCTATCAGCTTGGTGATTTCTTATCTTCTTCTTTTTTTAATTAATTTATTTCGGGATTTGTACATGCATTATATTATCTCCTTCCAATTTTTAAATTTCCCGTACAGTTTTTTCCTTCCCCTCCCTTCCCCCCACCCCCCATATCCAGTGGAAGGGTTCAAACAATTATCCTCAGCCACGGACATAGCGTCTTTCGTTTCCACCGAATGTCTTTTGTTCCAGTAGTTTCTATCCATTGAAGATAGGGGTTCCATCTGTTCCTTATCGTGGTGGACTTGACCTTCCACGTTGTTTCCTGTGACGTGACTGCGACAATGTCCGGCTGAATAAGTTCAAACAAATAACTATTCCATGCCTCTACTGTCCATTTTTCTCTGTCTTTCCAACCTAAAGCTATCGTTGCCTTTCCCGCTAATATCATAGCTTTGAAAATAAGCTGGTCCCCTTTCTCTAGAGCCGTGATTCCAAGTATACCCATTGTCAGGAGATCAAAGTCTGTTCAAAGTTTCACTTTAAACAGTTCATTAACAACCTTTAGGATTTTATTCCAGAATTCCTTTACCTCTGGGCATCCCCAGTACATATGGGGAAACCAATAATAATAATAATAATAATAATAATAATAATAATAATAATAATAATAATAATAATAATAATAATAATAATAATAATAATAATAATAATAATAATAATAATATAATTTATTATTTATACTCCGCGCATCTGGCTGGGTTTCCCCAGCCACTCGGGGCGGCTTCCATCTAAACACTAAAATACAATAACCTATTAAACATTAAAAGCTTCCCTAAATAGGGCTGCCTTCAGATGTCTTCTAAAAGTTTGGTAGTTGTTGTTCTCTTTGACCTCCGCTGGGAGGGCGTTCCACAGGGCGGGCACCACCACCGAGAAGGCCCTCTGCCTGGTTCCCTGTAACCTCACTTCTCGCAGGGAGGGAACCACCAGAAGGCCCTCGGAGCTGGACCTCAGTGTCCGGGCAGAACGATGGGGGTGGAGACGCTCCTTCAGGTATCCCTAGTTAGGATCACACGGGTGTAGCCAATGCAGTCGGGGCTCCTGACTTTGGGGGTGCCAGATCACACCAGCCTCATCCAGCAGAGAAAACCAAGTGGGGTGTTGGTTGTCAGGCAACATCCAGAAGGCAGGGTGTTGTGTTGCTTTGGGGAGCCCTGACTTGGTCCCTAGCAGAAGGGAGAAGCACAAATTGTGTTTTCTGCTGCTGCCGCCTTCCTCCTCCCATTTCCCCACCAATTACTTCCTCTTTTACAGACACAGATGACTCGAATAAAAAGGATCATTATATGTTAATTCAAAGTGTGTTGCTATTTTGGGAAGATGGGCTGGTAGGATGAAGGACTTAGCTATCATTATGATAACCACCATGTACTTTTATTGGCAAATCGTCTACTTATCTTTAAAACCGACACCTTTTTATTGTAAGCCCCGTGATGGAAAATTGCCCTGATAGCCAGTGACGCCGATTTAGCTCTGACTTTTAACAAAAGAAGTGAAAACGCTACGAATGGTGTGAAGTTTGAAGTCCAAAGGTCACATCTGCAAGAGCAGGTTTGCATTCGGATCTTAACATGTATTGCAGATATTAATATTGCACACTTTGAAGAGACTGGAAGCGTAAGAACTGACTCCTTTGCAAGAAATCGTTGTCCTGTCCCATAAAAATATTATTCAAAGTTTTACTGGCAGAATTCTTCAAAAACTGAACATAAGCATGAAAGATGCAACCAAAATACCCATACAATGTCTTGTGTTCTCCAGCAAAGGCTCAGCATCTTTTTTGAAATAAAAGATTCCAAAAATCCAAACTCTGTCTCTCCTCCATTGCAGCTTGCATCTCACATATTTACAGGGAGCATGAGAGGTCAAGGCAGCCCTGCTCATCTCCCATGCAGTGTTAGCTGTGTGTAGAAAACACCCAGACATGTTTACTGGCCAGTGTAAACACAGAATCCAGAATAAAATATGCACTGGAAATGGAATAAGGTGTCAAAGCAAATGATAAACCATTGCAGGGAGTTGGACTTGGGATCCCTTCCATCTCAACAGTTCTATGGTTCTCTGATAACTGAGGAATGATACAGTGGTATCCAAAATAACTAATGATATCCATAGGTACAAATGACAACAAAGACTGATTATTTTTTTAAAGAAAGGATTTTTTTTGTTCATTGACTTGAGTTAACAGACTGTTTGTTTTTTGGATGACATCAACGGTGCTTTTTATTGTAATACCAATTTCAACGAACTTTTTATTGGTGTGCTACACTTGAAAAATGATAATTTAAAAGGATTAAAGATTGGATTACCTTAAGAGATACAGGTGTGGTAGGCCTAGAGAGTTTTGATAACCGCTATGGTTGACATGCTTTATCTAATTTATGAAAAGGTGAGGGTACACAAGGGATTTTTGAATCACATTATAAGAAAATTGCTGGGTAAAATATAAAGGAGTATTAGAACCACAGATCCCTGTGTGGACCTCACCCGCAGAAGCCCTGGCTGTCAAAAAGAAAAATACGAAGGGAGATTGTGCTGGCTGTTCAGTGCACAACTGTAGGGCTGAAGAGAAGATGAGTACTGTTCTTTCTCATCCTTCCAACACCTGGTTGAGTAGAGAGCTGGATCCTGGAAGATCGCCATGTTGCAGGTGGCCAATGGGATTTTTAAAAATCTTGGTGCAGGAAGCAGTAGTTGCCCCTCTCCCTCCCCACTGTGCAGGACGCGGGTGGCGCTGTGGGTTAAACCACAGAGCCTAGGGCTTGCCCATCAGAAGGTTGGCGGTTTGAATCCCCGCAACGGGGTGAGCTCCCGTTGCTCGGACCCTGCTCCTGCCCACCTAGCAGTTCAAAAGCACATCAAAGTGCAAATAGATAAATAGGTACCGCTCTGGTGGGAAGGTAAACAGTGTTTCCGTGTGCTGCTCTGGTTCACCAGAAGCGGCTTAGTCATGCTGGCCACATGACCCGGAAGCTGTACGCCAGCTCCCTTGGCTAATAAAGCGAGATGAGCTCCGCAACCCCAGAGTTGGCCACGACTGGACCTAATGGTCAGGGGTCCCTTTACCTTTACCTTTACCTCCCCACTGTGCAGATGTTAGAGCTTTCTGCTCAAATTGGGCTCCTGGATAAATATCCGCAAACATGGGAATGGTAAAGTTGTTTCTTGAAATGGTTTGGCTTAGAACAGACAAGAGGAGCAGGATTTCGACACTGCCCATGGTGAAGTCCGACGCCTGCAGAGCACGAGGAATAGATTAGAAGTGGCTGCCCCCTTTCCTTCAGCTACCCTTAATTCAGTTTAAAACAGCATTAATCTTGGCTCAGAGGAGGGCCTGCTAATCTACAATGGGTGCCCGTCTGGAGGTTTAGAAGGGCTTAGCACAGATTAAGCTCTGTGTATTAAATGCACACCCTAAATTAATCTGGGTTAATTATGTAGACTTTCTCATTAAGACGAGGCTTCCTCAGCATGAAACACAGCAAACATGGTATGTTGCCACACGCTTTTGTATGGAAATGTGCTGCGTTTCCTGTTTTCGTGTAAATGGCGACACCATAAATAGCCCCTTCTGAAACAGACCGAAGCCCATCTGCTACAGTGGGCAGCAGTTTATGGCCAAGGCAGGCACTGGGGGAAAAGAAATCACGTTAGCATATCTGAAGGGCTAAGAATGATATGCCAGGTATCGATGGAGACATTCGCCTATGGCGAGCAGAGGGTTCTTTCCAGGTGAACAGTTGGGGGAAACAGAATGGCTTATGTTTTCCACCTGCCAGGTTCGAGCTGACTTAACATTAGATAGCATATGCGGTGATAAATCCCCCTTGCAAACAGAAAAGGCAAGCGTTTTCCTTCCGATGTGTCCCTACATTTATCATGTGTCGCATACTGCAAGCCTGAAATAATAACAGTAGGAATACTGAACAGAGAGTCTGAGATGAACTTTCGGATAAAATTATCTTCAGATGAAAAAATCATCATAAAACCACAGAGTTGGAAGGGATCCCCTAAGCCCATGTAGTCCAACCCCTGCAATGCAAGAGTTACAGCTAAAGAATCCATGAGAGATAGCCATCCAACCTCAGCTTAGAAACCTCCAATAAAAGAGAGTCCACCGCCTTCTGAGGGAGCCTGTCAAGCAGCAATTGCCATCAGAAAGTTCTTCCTAATGTTGAGTCAGAATCTCCTTTCTAGTCATTTGAATCCATTGGTCCTATCTTCTGAAGCAGCAGAAAACAAGCTTCCTCCATCTTTTCTTCAGATATTTGAAGACTCCTTTCAGTCCTCTTCTCCAGGCTAAGCATACCCAACTCCCTCAAACGTTCCTCATCAGGCTTGGTCTCCAGACCCTCAGTCATCTTGGTTGCTCTGCTCTGCTCTGCACCTTCTAGTTTGACGATATCCTTCTTAAACTGTGGTGTCTAGAACTGGACACAGGATGGGGTCTGACCAAGACAGAATAGAGAAGTACTATTACTTCCCTTGATAGTATTGGACAGTTGGATGGAGAAGACCTCAGTTTTGGGTTTGGGAAACTGGCCAGCTTGGGGCTAGACTGGCCTCCTTGAATATATGGCACCTCATCATATGAAGACTTTCAGGTATAAATCTATTGGTATGTGAAATGGCAAAGTATGTGCCTCAGGAAGTCTGAGTCAAGAAAGGCTATTGAAGGTCCATAGCGTATTGGGTCTCTCCGATAATTGCTCCCCATTCCCCATAAGTACCTTTCCTCCCTCCATGACCTTTCTGTCTTCTGTTAGGTGCGGCACTCCGGGGTCCCCTCCTTCTTGTAAATTAGCTTAGCGAGCCAACCTTTATCTTGGATGGGTTTATTCCAACACCAGGTAACCTTCATCTTCCCCATCACAGCCAAGCACGCACAGATTATGCTGATATATGAACACGGCTTCCTGGTTACTCTGGAAGGTCACCGGGTGGGACGAAAGCAAGGAGAAGTGAAATAACTCATCTGACTCTTGGACCGAGCAAAGAGTTTCAGGTGCACTTACTCTTACGAGAAGATAAATCCATTAAGGTGTGAAATGGTGGAGCACACCACTGGGGTTTGGCAGATAACGTTGTCTCATAAAACATGGCACCATCCCTTAATTGTCCTTCCTTGCATAAGTTGGGCAGGAGGATAGTTTGTTCTCTTGCTTTGCTATTCACTTTCCTTTCTCTCTCTGCTCCCCTGAACTTTGGGTTTAGCCATCCCCTCTAAAAGGTGTCATGATAGAAATTAGATGGATGGACCCCTTTTGGCCTGATCCAGCAGGCTCTTCTTATATTCTTAAGTTAGGCTGTCATTTATTTGCAGTTTTTGCAAACAGATGCTTTGGATTTACACTGCAAATTTTTCAGGGTGGGAGACAGCGAAGGAGGAGGAAGACTACCTTCCCACTAACAGCACATGTGAACCTCAAACTATGATGAGGATAATAAATCTGAAAATTGCATAACTATTCGTGGCAGAATATATTGCTCTCAGGAAAGACCTAGGATTCCTCCTCCCACCTCCCCAGCTCTGATGTTTCCATTTGAGTTGTATTCAAAAAATTCTGATTATTTTGAAAAGTTCTGGTAGAGAAGAATGAAAAGTGATGTTGCGAGGAACGAGCAAAACACTTGCGCTGGTTTCTGTTCTCCGCGTTTAAGTTTTAAAAGTTGCAGTGCTCCATTTATAACGGAGAATGCATTACCCACCCAGACCTCATTAACTTTGCTCTTGCAAGACTCAGTGGGCTGATGGTCCCTTGGAAGAGGCTCATTAGCTGAATGTTTACTTGTGCTCAGTGTAGGCGCTCTCCTCCCCACAGACACAAGGCATTCAGTTACCTCATCCAAGCAGAGAAGCAAGAGACAGATGAGGGATGGGTGCTGTCAGGAGTGCGTGCAGGAGCCAGGCCCTGTGACCGGTAGGGCTTCGCAAGACTGGGGCCTTCCTAAGTTTGTTCTGGAGAGGCAAGGCGTGGCCGCACAGGTGAGGCCAATTGGTAACTCACAGCCCCTGGTGGCAAGAGCCAGGAAGGGCTATAAGGTCAGCATTTCCCTTTGGCTCTTTGCCACAGCAACATGCTTTCTGCCTTGCTGCATTTGGCTTCTTGACCCTTGGTTTCCTGACCCTCAGACCCTTGGCTTCTTGACTCCTGGCTCTCTGACCCTTGGCTTCCGGACTCTCATTCCTGCTCCCACACTGCCGTCTTGCCCCTGGTCCTGACGTCCTCCTCCAGGACTTCGACCGCCTGTAGACCAGACCATGATAGCTGCTTCCAACTCTCCAGATTCTTCTGGGCTAAAACTCCCATCATCTCTTGCCATTGCCCAGGCTGAATATGGCTGGTGGGAGTTGGAGTCCTACAACATCTGGAGGCTCACAGGACCCCCAAAGTTGTATTTACTTACTCCTTTATTCATTTCACCTCCTACCTTTTCATCCCAACAGCTCAAGGTGGGATAGATGGTTTCCCCCCTCCTCATTTAATCCACACAAGGCCCTGGGATGTTGGTTAATGTGGCGTTTGCCCGTTCGTTTGAAAATGTCTATACAGGGGGAGAGAAAGAGTTAATATAGGAAATAGGAATATTTCCAATAGGAAAGCCGGAGGCGGAGCCTACCTGTTTATAAAAGGGCTTAGCCCCAGGTTTGGGTGTGGTTAGTTGGTTGGTTTTAGTGGGTTGGTTGGTTGGGGAAGGCAGTTGGCAGGCAGTTGGAAATAGAGAGACAGTTAGTGCAGTGGGTTCTTGTGTGCGGGGAGGTAGAAGAGATAAAGACAGGATAAAATAAGACTAAGAAGGTAAAGAGTAACAACGTTTAGAATGCAGTTAAAGTTTGTTTGTATCTGCAATAAACTACACACTTCTTTGTTAATGTGAGAACCTGACTGAGACTAAGTGATTTACCGGGGAGGACCTGGTTGGTGGCAGCGGATTAGTGGTGTATGGGTCAATAGTCCGTGAGACGACCGGGGGCTCCGTACGAACGTCAGTTAACTAATTGATGCTGTTAGGAGTGGAGACTAGAACCTAGAACCAGTGTGGTGCAGTGGTTAAGAGCGGTAGTCTCGTAATCTGGGGAACTGGGTTCGTGTCTCCGCTCCTCCACATGCAGCTGCTGGGTGACCTTGGGCCAGTCACACTTCTTTGAAATCTCTCAGCCCCACTCACCTCACAGAGTGTTTGTTGTGGGGGAAGAAGGGAAAGGAGAATGTCAGCCGCTTTGAGACTCCTGAAGGGGAGTGATAAAGCGGGATATCAAATCCAAATCCAAATCCAAATCATAGAACTGTAGAGTTGGAAGGGACCCCAAGGGTCATTGAGTCCAACCCTCTGCATTGCAGGAATCTCAGCTCAAACATCTATGACAGGTAGCCATCCAACCTCTGCTTAGAAACCTCAAAGGAAGGAGAGTCCACAACCTCCTGTGGGGGCCTGTCCCACAGTCAAGCAGCTCTTACCACCAGAAAGGTCTTCCTAATGTTGAGCCAGAATCTCTTTCCTTGTCGTTGGAATCCACTGGTTCAGGTCCTAACCTCTGGAATGGCATTTAATAATATCCTCTTCCAGTTGCTCCTGTAGTGGGAGACTGGGTGGGTGGGAACTGCCAACTGTTGTGGTGCCATCCAAGTTTCAAATGCCCTACCTGGGAGGCCCACCTGATGCCCTATGCTCATGTTTTTATTCACACTGGACTTATTTTTAAAAATCTTTATTCCACTGGGCTATATTCAAGGTCCGTATAGTTCAAGCTATGGATTTCCCAGGAGTGATGTATGGAAGTGAGAGCTGGACCATAAAGAAGGCCAATCGCCGAAGAATTGTTGCTTTTGAATTATGTTCTGGAGGAGACTCTTGAGAGTCCCATGGACTGCAAGAAGATCCATTCTGAAGGAAATCAGCCCTGAGTGCTCACTGGAAGGACAGATCCTGAAGCTGAGACTCCAATACTTTGGCCACCTCATGAGAAGAGAGGACTCCCTGGAAAAGACCCTGATGTTGGGAAAGATGGAAGGCGCAAGGAGAAGGGGACGACAGAGGACGAGATGGAGGGACAGTGTTCTCGAAGCTACAAACATGAGTTTGACCAAACTGCGGGAGGCAGTGGGAGACAGGAGTCCCTGGTGTGCTCTGGTCCAGGGGGTCACGAAGAGGCGGACACGACTAAACGACTAAACAACAGCAACAATATTCAAGGTGCTGATTCTGGTGCTTAAAGCCCTATACAACTTGGGACCAGGATACTTGAAACATCACCTCGCCCCTTATACACCCTAAGAGATCACTGGGCTCTGCAGGTGAGGGCCTCCTGCAGCTACATCTTATCCCAGAAGTCCCTTCCGCACAGTGTAGGAATCGAGGCCTTTCGTGTGGTGGCACCTCCCCTTAGACAGGCAACATCTCTGTTGTCTTTGAGGGCCTACTGAAGACCTTCCTCTTCCAACAAGCCTTTTAAGAAGAGATATCTTCCAGTCTGCACTGAAATTGTTCTCTCTATATATACCGTATTTTTTGCCCTATAGGCCACACTTTTTCCCCTCCAAAAATGAAGGGGAAATGTGTGTGCGTCCTATGGGGCGAATGCAGGCTTTCGCTGAAGCCTGGAGAGTGAGAGGGGTCGGTGCGCACCGACCCCTCTCGCTCTCCAAGCTTCAGGAAGCTCTCCGCAAGCCTTGGCAGCCCGCGGGAGTTCCCGTTGGGCTCCCTAGGCTTGCGGATAGCAGCCTGCATCTCGAAGCCTGGGGCACACTGCACAGCGCACCCCGGGCTTCGGTTCCCTGACCTGGTTTGGAGGCTGGCAGCGGGGAGAAGCACGCTTCTCCCTGCCGCCAGCCCCACAAGCTCGGGGGACAGCGGGGAGGCGCAGCGCTGCCATCCCGCTGTTCCCCGACCTGGTTTGGGCTTCAGGCAGATATCCGCAAGGCGTGGGAGCCCGGCGGGAAGTCACGCTGGTCTCCCAAGGCTTGCGGAGAGCTGCCTGTTCTGGGGGCTGGGGTTGGGGGAAGCTCGGGCTTCCCCCGCCCCAGCCCCGCACCTGGGGGAAATTTTTTTTTTCTTTATTTCCCCCCCCCCCCATAGGTGCATCCTATGGGCCGGTGCGCCCTATGGGGCAAAAAATACGGTATTTAATTTAGATAAAGTAAACAGAAAAATATACATAAAGAGGGATTCATAATATTACAACAGGCTGAAGGCAACATAAGATTGAACATTATCATTCAACTTATTGTTCCAAAACATTATGAAAGATGTTTCCCCATGTCTATTCTTTTTATCTTAGTCATTATTTCCAGAGACCTTTATTATTATTATTATTCATTCACATACAATAGCAGATGCACTTTCCCTGCATTTTAGGCTATCATAATCCTAGCAGCAGTTACAGGACTGGAACACTATTTCTCGAACATTTTCCTTTAGCTCACCAAGTAGAAATATTTCAGGATCTAAGGGTATACGATACCCTAACGTGTCAGAAATATTGTCCTGAGCAGATTTTTAAGATGTTAAAATTGCTTTATCTTTTCCGTGATTGCCATCCTGGTCTCCTTTGGGAAGAAGGACGGATATTGTTTTGACGTTTTCTCAGGCCTTTTAATCTGTGGCTGATTTTCCCACATTTCCCTCCTGCCGCCATGACTCCCCCCTCCCCCTTCACCGCCCTGGTGCTTTTCGTTGAGAGATGACTTTATTTGTCTGATTTATTAATGCATTGCCTTTTTATGAGTTTATTGCTTTTGTGTGTGACTGATAGTCCCTCTCTCCACCACCACCGCCCCAGCCCCCAAACTACTGATAACTGAAGGGTGGGACATCAATCTTCCGAAATCGTAAATAAGCCAGCCTCTTCGTGGAAGAGATGAGTTTTCTGATGGGTGAGACTTGGAAAGGGGAACTTTCAAGAGAGAAAGAAGAGGCATTTCTTCCCACACCAGCTGAGATCAGAGGCCTTTCATAACACTGGAAATGATCAAGCACAGGGAGCAGCTTCTCGTGAAGAAAGGTTGCAGCATCTTCCATTTTTAGTTTAGAGAAAAGGCAAGGGAGAGGTGACGGGAGAGGAGGTTACAAAAGGATGCCTGGCATGGGGAAAAATGGAGGGAGAAAAGTTTTCCTCCCTCTCTCCAAACACAGGAACTCGTAGACACCCAACGAAGCTGAATGTTGGAAGAGTTGGCTAAACTATGGAACTCCCTCCCACAGTGATGGCCCCAAATCTAGGCATGCAGTCCAGCAGTTTGGCAGGCCAACAGGTCCAAAGTGCAGTCAGGCCAGATTCCCACACCTGCCGCCAATCCAGGGGGCAAGACATTTGACGGTCAGTCCCGAAGAGCTCCCTGGAACATCTAAGCCAGGGGTAGGCAACCTAAGGCCTGGGGGCCGGTTGCGGCCCATTCGCCTTCTCAATCTGGCCCGCGGATGGTCCGGGAATCATTGTGTTTTTAAATGAATAGAATGTGTCTTTTTATTTAAAATGCATCTCTGGGTTATTTGTGGTGCATAGGAATTCGTTCATTCCCCCCCCCTCCAAAAAAAAATACAGTCCGGCCCACCACATGGTCTGAGGGACGGTGGACCGGCCCATGGCTGAAAGAGGTTGCTGACCCCTGATCTAAGCCATGGTCCAACCAACATGGGAAATTGAGCAGACCCAGCCCCTCAGTTCTGCTGCCCTTTTGTTTTTTGTTTTTGTTTTTTTAATAGTTTTATTGAATGATTTTATGTTACAAAAAACAATACAGCCATACTACCACTAAATATAATTAAGAAATAAAAATTACATACATCAATATTTAGTTTGTTATTTGTTATTTACCGTCTTATTTCCTCCCAAACATTGCATACAAAAACACACATATGTGCAGACACCCACACACCCACACCCGCACACAAAATGATAATAATGAAAGTAAATATTTTTTCCCCTTTTATCTTCCAAAATCTTTTCTTCAGCTTTGCTGCCCTTTTGTACTTTGCATGCTGATTGCAACATCTGGACATCTGGAGTGCATCACCCCACAGCAGATTCTAGCATGCAGTCCAGCAGGCCAACAGGTCCAGAGTGCAGTCAGGCCAGGTCCCCACATCTGCAGCCACTCCAGGGGTCAAGACATTTGTCCATCAGTCCTGAAGAGCTCCCTGGAACATCTAAGCCCAACCAACATGGGAAGTTGAGCAGACCCAGCCCCTCAGTTCTGCTGCCCTTTTGTACTTTGCATGCTGATTGCAACACCTGGACTTGATGAGGAATGTGACCCTCACTTGTTCTGAGCTTGCTTCAGCTGAGGAATCGCAGATCTCCTTCCGGAGCTACTGAGCCCCACCTGGCAAGACAGTGAGCTGGGCTGTGGGCCCTAGCCTCAACTATGGAACTTCCTCTCACAGTGGGGCAGCGATGGCCCCAAATCTATGTGGCTTTAAAAGATGATTGGGCAGGAGATTGATGGAGGAGGAGAAGGCTATCAGGAGCAGACAGTGCTGCTTTGGTGCTGAAAGTTGCTTGTGGGTTTCCCACAGTCATCTGGTCAGGAGCTGTGAGAACATGATGCACACCGGGGGCCACCAGGTGGCACATTGGAAGATGGCGGACAATAACATCTCTCCGACCCATACAAGGTAATTAAGAGGCTGCTATGGGAAGTATGCAGCCTTCCCGCCCGCCCCCCAGGAGATGGGGGGGACTGCCTTGCCAGCGGTGTCCATAATGCACCCTCGGATTCGAAAGAAGGGGGTGCCCGGTCACTTGGCACAAGCCCTCGTTGAAGTCGGCTCTTCCTGACGCTGTCTCCAATCAGCGCCCTGGTTCGCTTTAGCTCGAAAATATAATTGGAAACATATAATTGGAAAGAAGCTAAAGCGCATACATCAAGCGAAGTTTGGGAGATAAGACTGCTGATTAATGGATCTCTGTGACCGGAGCGACGGACGGGACAAATAAATCAAGTGATGAATCACCATTAAGAGACTGGTACGTTTGGAATGAAACCGGGGGGGTGGTGGAGGAAAAAACTTTTTTTTCCTTTGCCTTATGTGAGTATTAAAAACCCTCCACCCCAGAAAGAAGATCGTTGCATTTTTTTTTTAATCACAAGCAGGAATTCAAGAACTGTGTGGAGTGAATTACGGATCAAAGAGAGGATTGGTAAACATTGGAGAACAAAGGAAAGTTTTTATGACGCAGTTTTAAATGGCGTCTCGCTAAGATAGGCTTGTCTAAGAAAGACGGGGGGGGGGGCGGAGGACCAGGATCATCAGAATGTGAATGATGATTGGAATGTGATCTAAACCTGGCAGAGCCCTTTGTGATATACTTGGCAAGCCTGGAAAATTAAAGGACAGACCGAGGATAAATTCTTTACAGAAGTGTGGAATGGCGTCTGTCCCTATGTGATATGATTTTTGGGAGAGTCTAAAACCCACACAGAGGATGTTTGTTTCCAACCCGCTTGTGAGGATTATCAGAGATCGCAAAGAAAGGAATATATGATAACAACAAGAAGATGAAGAAAGTAATAAAGAGACTATCTGGACAGAACTGGATAGAACTGTCTAATTAAAGCAGCAATATAAGTGATGTTTGGACCCCTGTTCGGAGCTTGAAGTATGGGTACCCCCAACAAAATTTAAAAATCTGGCTGTATAATTTGGAATTAATGTGATTTGGAAATAATGTGATTTGATTGACCTGTTAATAAAAGTTATTTTTTTACAAAAGAGACCATGATGCACACCCTCCCCTCCATGCGTTTTCCGGAGACAGTCCAGGAATGACAGAAACCATCCTGGCTTCTGATTTGATCCTGGAATGTCGCTATTTCCCTCACCACTGCTGCTGCCACCCTGTTGCTGCCGGCCTCCTTCCTTGGGCAGCTCGTAGGGTCTGCTGGAGAGAGGAGGAGGAGA